TAATCTCGGCTCACTACAGCCTCTGCCTCCTGGGTTCAAGCGATTTTCCTGTCTCAGCCTCCTGAGTACCTGGGTCTACAGGTGCACGCCACCACACCTGGCTAATTTTTGTATTTTAGTAGAGATGGGGGTTTCACCATGTTGTCCAGGCTGGCCTCAAACTCCTGACCTCAAGTGATCTGCCTGCCTCAGCCTCCCAAAGTGCTGGGATTACAGTTGTGAGCCACCGCACCTGGCCCCACTTATTAATTTTTTCAATAGTTTATTATAGTGGACTCATGGATATTTATTTACACTTCGAGTTATTATTCAATACTAGTTGGTTTATTTTGTTGCTCTCATTGTCGCCGCTTTGGCCACTGGGAGCTTCAGGTGGCTCTTGCATCCCTGTGTCATTGCCCATCACTTTGTCTTGTGAGCACGTCCTTATTTCTGGACCTATAAACTGCTCCAGCCTCATCTTGTCTCTTTCCTTGTCCAGTCCTAGAATCAGCCATTTCTGCAAGAAGCGCCGGTTCTTCTTCTTGGAGAGTGGTCTTAGAAGGCCAAGGTCTGGGAGCTGGGTGTGCTCGTCACTGCTGGGCTGCTTCTGGTCTTCTCAGCCAACAGAGCAAGGAAGCGTGTAGTGTATGTCAGCTGGTGTGTGATATACACACTGTCTATACATGGTAACCATTGGTGTCCTGGGTCATACTGATGTCTCTACCTCTAGTGGCGCCTCTTGCCCCCCCGCACTTGCTGATTGTAACCTCCCCTCCAGCAGTGAGGATGCGGCCCCATCGTCTGCTGTCCCTGGTTTAGCTCCCGTGTGTGTGTAAGGTGTGTAAGGTGGTGTCACAGTGAATAACCCAAACCCCATGGGAAGAACACCACCAGTGCTGTGCCATGCTCTGGGACAGCCCCTCTGCACGGGCCCCACTCCTGCCCAGGGCTACTCGGGACAGCCTCTCTGCCTCTAGGCTGACGGGCCCCACTCCTGCCTAGGGCTACTCGGACAGCACCTTGCCCTCCACCTCTGATTGTATTTCTAACTTACCATCTCCTGTGAGTGAGGCTGAACATCTTTTATTTTCTTTTTCTTTTTTTTTGAGATGGAGTCTTGCTCTGTTGTCCAGACTGGAGTGCAGTAGCGCAATCTTGGCTTACTGCAACCTCCGCCTCCCAGTTCAAGCGATTCTCCTGCGTCAGCCTCCTGAGTAGCTGGGATTACAGGTGCTTGCCACCATGCCTGGCTAATTTTTGTATTTTTTTTGTATTTTTTTTTTTTTT